TTCTATACCCGAAGCAAGGCCAATTTACTCAGTCCATCAGTGCTAGTCATCCCAAGACCCAGTTCTGTCCCCTGTGCTTGCCCTCACTAGGGCATCTCTAAGGTCTATAGTCCATTTTCTGCCAGCCTGGCTCCTCATACAGATACACTTGAGGGGCGCCACAATGAGGTAGAGCTCAGCAGACTTAATGATCAGCTCCTCCATCGGGTCACCTTACACCGACCGGTAAGCAGTTTCTTCTCAGTGAACCTTTGCCCTACTGCACGAGGGGGCAGTGACTCCAGCCCCATCCAGCTCCCAGGTTCTGTAATTCCACTTGAAAATAACAGAGGATTCTTCTTTTCCAGCTCATCTTTTGTCACCATCCCTGGCTCTAGAAGAGCTCTGTGACCACTCCTTGTCTTCACATGCAGTTAGGCTTCAAATCCTCATGAGTTTTTTCTCTGAAAGATCTCTAGGATTGAGCTTCCCTTTGAGTTCTGTCACCCTCCCAAGACCTCAAGCCTAGATCGCTAAGCTACTGTCCTGATTTGAGCCAATCCATCCTGCATACCGATGTGTATCTGTGTCCATCACACCACCCTCCTTACCAAGAATGCACGGTGGCTCCGTTACTTGCCAGGCGATGTTATCCAGGCTACCCCATTTACGGCCCCACCTGATCTCTGCAAACTTTCCTTTCCTTAGCAACTGACTCAACTGGTCTGCTTGAGTCTAAGAGCTTCCTGTTCCGTGCCTTCAGCTGGGCAGCTCCTCACTGTTTTCCCCATCTCCCTACACCTTGTCCATTCATGTCCTGTCTTTGAGACTCTTCTGACTTCTAACCTCTCTGTGACATTCTCAGTTAGTATGTACACACCCAAGCCCATGATAGAATATTGCTTTAAGTTTTTCTTATGATAATGTGTGTGTATGAGAGAGAGAATGCACCCCTGACAGGGTCTCACCTTGCTGCAGTCCCCTCTTCCCAGCCCTCCAGTTTCTTAGAATCCTGGGCATCTGGGGGCATGTTTATGCTGTGATTTTTTCCCCCCATGAGATGTAAGGTTGTTTCCTTCTCAACTATGCCCCCCCCCCTTATTTTTAATTTTTAAGAAAAAAATTGTAATTCTTGTTGAGTCTGGGCAAAAAACCCCTAAAGGTCTGAAATAACTTTGTACCAATAAACAGCTGTAATAGAAAAAAGTTTCCAGGCCAGCCTGAGGATCCAAACCTACGTTGGCATATGGCTTCCAACCTTGCAGGGCACTAGTGTTACCACTGTGCCACAGCAGCCAGCCCACTTGGGATTTCTTTTTAACCACAGCACAACTGCCCCTTCCTTCATCAGAAGTCTCTCTATGGAACCAAGAGCAGTGGAGTGGGTGTCAGAGCCACCGGAGTCTTCATTCAGGGCAAACCTGGGGCCTCCCGAACTTGTTTCCCTCTGCTGTAACACACGCGTAATAACACTGACCTCACGGGATTGTCACTGAGTTTGACTAAATGAGACAAATAAAAATACCAAGCCATGCCTGGCTCAGAACAGAAACCAAAAAATACCGACTGAAGTGTGGCCTGGGCTTTAACCTCAGCTGGATGTATGGAGTAGAAACAATCTATCAATTACATTTTTAGGTAATTTTAACTGAAATCTTAAGGGTACCATTCACTACATTGTTCAGTATTTTTCATTTGAGAACCTTTATAATACAAACCTTTATAATACACTCTTCTCTGAAGAGGAAGGAAAACGTTTGTTTCTTGGGATGAATATGTACTTCCTTTTTTATGACAACGGGAACTACATAACCTGAAGACTCGTTTCCACTTTTGGCTGCCAGAAAGCTCAGAGCAAGGTGTTACACTCAACTGCAGATCTCTTCACTGACCTGAGGGGGGCAGTGTAGTATGAGGACAGAACAGGAGCCCAGGAGTCATCCGACTTGGGAAGGAGCCCTCTTGCCCCTTCTTACCCTAGGTATCTCTCTGAGTCTTTGTCTCCCCCCCCCCATTTGTGTAAAAGGGATAATATAACAATGAGGCTAGTACCTATAAGATTGCAGTGAGACAATGCATTTAAAATATTTTTATAGGGCCCACCTGTGCCGCGGTAGTAAAGGCACTGGATTCCCACATGGCTGACTGCAGTTTGAAGTCCTGGACATGGAGCCTTGAAAAACATGCCACGCAGGGAACCAGCAGTTAGCGTAATGGCTATGTCGCTGGATTCCCACGTAGTCGACCGCGGTTCGTGTCCCGGACCCGGTGGCTTAAAACTCACGCCGGGCGCGTGTGCGTGCGTGCCCAAGATCCCGAGAGGAGAATGGAGGAGAAGGGATTGCGGCGTGACCATCCCCCCTG